CGCCGGAGCCCAGCAGGTCGAGGCTGCGGTGGCCGGGAGCGGCCACTGTACTCCAGTCTGGGCGACTGAGTGAGACTCCAACTCAAAAAAGAAAGAAAGAAATGTTATAGACGTGTCTATGGATTTCAGCTTTTTTTTCAGCTTTAAAAATAAAAAATGTGGTACTTCCCTTTCAAAAACATTTCAGCAATAAAAAGTATGATGTGAATAGACTGAATTTAATACAGTATCCGGGAATAGATCAAAGTGAAATCTGAGTCGGGACTGGAGTTCATTTAATAGTAAAGTACTAGTGTTGGTTTCTTAGTTTTAACAAATGTATCATGAGATGCTGGCGTTAGAGAAAAGCAGTGAGATCCATCTGGTACCCTGTTACTTCCTTTTTACTTTTATGCAAACCTAAAATTATTATACAGTAAGCTGATTTTTATTTAATATTACACAAATTTGGAAGAAAATTGTTATCCTTCTAATGTCCTTCCCTTCCCAGAGTTATAGAAACTCCCTGATGCAAGCACTTGTAGAGGAGGAAAGGCTGCACTTATAAGACAGGCCACATTTTAATCTAATGAGTAAATATAGTACAAATAATGTTCAGTTGATGCTAACTATTAGGAAGTCCCAGTGATTATGTTGTAGGTAGTTAAATTATGCATTATGAGTGTTCAGAACCAAGTTTCAAATCCGTGAATTCTGCATGCAGTATAGTCTTTATGGTTTTCTTCTTTAGTGATTTTATGAAGTTTTCGCACCCAGCTTTTGAAGAGTTAAGGTTTTGATTGCAACTTTGGATTTGAGAAGAGTCAAGAGGTAATCTTCATGAGTGAGGAGGAGAGAGAAGACATGAGCTGGGCATCCCTGTGCAGGACCAGAGAAGGGCTGCTGGATCCCACCTCCATGCTGGAAAACAGGCGGGATATTCCTCCTGGGGCCACCTTCTCTTCCTCTTCATTATCTTCTAAGGACCCAATAAAACTTTTCTGTTAAAACGCAATAACATTTTTTCTTCTTAAAAAATTTTTCTTTTATGTTAACAGAAGTATGGCCAGCCTATTCAAATGAGGTACACGGAACATGAAGAGAGACCCAAAGCTTTAAATGACTTGGGAAAAAAGATCCAGCTTGTCATGAAAGTCATAGAAGCATACAGGAACAAGGTATTGAATTCATAAAGCCAGTTTGTGACGGTGGTGTGTGAATGGCACGTGGGAAGGTGCTATAAATGTTAACATTCTCAGCCACAAAGCTATAGCAGTTTTACTACCAGATTTCACAGATTGTGTATGCAAACCTTGAAACTTTTTTTATTGGTGAATTACCACTAAAGGATTCTGATACATTGAAATACAGCAAAGGTGTGTGGCTTGCATTTTTCAGAACTCCCTGAAACGCCATTGCAAATGAACCCGCTGACCAAATTTGTTGTTTTCTTCTTAAAGACTTCATTTTTGTGTTTTCATGTAGTGCAGAAGAGGCCCTCCTGGGCTTTTCCCTCATAGGCCTCTTTGAGCCTGGACGCCACTCGCCTCTGTTTCGTTTCTTGGCTTCCTTTCCTTTTTGTTGCTTGCTGTCTTCCAATTCACAAGTCATCTGTAATTTCCTGTATTCTTTTATGTACATACTCAGATCCCTGTTACCTTAACCGTGTCACTATCTTGAAGCCTTAAAAATATAGTTATGTAGATAATGTATCCACTTGGATGTTAACAGTAAAATCTGACAAAACTAAGCTTATTGTTTTTTCCTCTGAACCAAGGGTTAGCGGACTTTCTTTAAACAGACAAAAGGCTGGGTGTGGTGACTCACACATATAATCTCAGCACTTTGGGGAGACCAAGGTGAGAGGATTGAGAGAGATTTGAGAGGTTGAGAGAGGATTGAAGTGAGAGGCTGAGGTGGAAGGATCACCTGAGCCCAGCAGGTTGAGGTTGTGACAGGGTAAGACTCCGACTTAAAAATAAACAAGTAAATAAATAGACAAATAAACTATTCTACATGTTGCAGTTCTTACCATGTCTGTCCAGCTGTCCACCGTAGTACAAAGGGAACCATGGGCATTATGTAAATGAGTGGGCGTGAGTGTAGTCTTTAAAAATGTGATAGAAAACATGGGCAGCTATTGGGTTTGGCCCCTCCGTCAAGTTTGCTGATCCCTGCTCTTCACGGATTATTCACTGTGATCCTCCAGTTTTTATCACTGTTGGTAAAACTGCATCATGGGCAGGACAGACCAACACCAGAGACATTCAGGCACAGGTGTCATAATAGTAGCTTGCTTTTGTCAAGCACTTCATGAATTTTAGGCACTTTACGTGAATTATCTCACTGTATTCTCATCAAAAGTACTATTATCTTAATTTTACATGTAAGAAAACTGAATACTTCCACTGTTTTGAGGATTACACTAGCAGGTAATGATGGGTTCAAAATTCAAAACTAAGTGGTCTGACATCAACATACAAACTCTCAACAGCTCTGCTGTTCCCACTGCACGATATGAAAGGCAGTTATTTATCTTAGAAATAAGAAATGTGGCTGGACATGATGGCTCATGCCTATAATCCCAGCATTGGGAGGCTGAGGTGAGAGGATTGCCTGAGCCCACGAGTTCAGGACCAACCCTGGCAACTTGGCTAGACCTCATCTCTACAATAAATAAATTTTTAAAAATAGCCTGGCATGGTGGCACATGCCTGTAGTACCAGCAACTTGGAAGACTGAGGCAAAAGAATCACCTGAGCCTAGCAGGTTGAGGCTGTGGTGGCCATAAGCATGCCACTGCACTCCAGCCTGGGCGACAGAGTGAGACTGCAACTCAAAAAAATAAGAAGTGTGTGAGTTTTATAAAAACTGCAGCCAAACATATTCTAGTATCTGGACAAACCCAGATACTGACTGTGAACATACCTGCTAATAACAGTATTCAGATTGTTCTTACAGACACAAGTGTAAGGATGGTGAAAAAATAGGAAGGAGGGCTCAGCCTGTAATCCCAGCACTTTGGGAGGCCAAGGCCAGTGGATTGCCTGAGCCTGTGGGTTTGAGACCATCCTGGGCAACTTGGTGAGACCTGGTCTCAACAATAAATCAAAAATTAGCTGGGCATGGTAGCACGCACTTGCAGTTCTGGCTACTTGAAAGATTGAGGCAGAAGGATTGCTGGAGCCCAGCAGGTCGAGGCTGTGGTGGCCAGGAGCGTGCCACTGTACTCCAGCCTGGGCAATGGAGTGAGATTCCAACTCAAAAAAAAAACGGAAGGAATAAGCAGACACATGACTGGAGGCCCAGTGCTCCCCAGGCTTGGACTGTCTTCTTGAGTGCATAGCTTTAAGAGTTCTTTTTTATCAAGCACTTGAGTTTTTATCATGTGCCAGGCTGTTTTCTAGGTGTTGAACTCGTTTTGAATAGGCTTCAACAGGGAAAGGTGGGTAGTACGTAAGTGACTGTGGAGTATGTCAGATGATACTAAAGGCTGTGGAGAAGGGAAGGGACTGCAGGGGTGGAGGAGGCTTGTAGAGACCAGAAAGGTGAGTACGGTGGAGACATGTCAGAGGGAACTGAGGACATGAGGCCGCAAGAGGTGAGGGTTGCCGAGCTGGGAAGAGAAGCGCTCTAGAGTCAGAATGGTGGTGCGCTCAGGGGAGCGGAGGAGCGGCAGGACCAGGGGACAGGGCAGCAGTTGCAGGGCCGTGAAAGCCCAGTCAGCCATGGCAGACGTCCCTGGGGTGACAGGCTTTTACCCTGGCAGGCTTCTGAGCACAGTAGTAAGACCGTTGGACTTGTTTCTTGAAGCATCTGGAAGTAGAGATACTAGTGAAGACATTATTCGGAAAACGCAAGCCAGAGATGGTGGAGGCTTCAACTCAGGAGAGGCAAGAAGTGGTGGGATGTTTGCATTTATTCTGAAGGTAGAGCTAATAAGACTTGCTGGTAGAGCTACTGTGACTGCATCAGAGAAGGCAAAAATGATTCCAACGATTTTGACCTGGAAGAAGGAAGTTTCCATTTACTGAGATGAGGAAAACTGAGAAGAGCAGCTGGGACATAACCAGGAGCTGACAACAGGCATTGCAGGCTTCTCAGGTGGTGTCAACGCTGAATGGGGAGGGTGCTCAGGGAGGACACCAGGCTGAGACCCCTTCAGAGTGTGTGATGGAGAGATGAGTGAGGAGCAGCTAGCAGAGAAACCTCGCGAGGTGGCCCGGAAGCAGGAAGAAGGCCTAGGAAGTGTGGCTGCCTGAGAGAGGACAGAGAAGTCGGAGCTGTGGAAGCCTAACTCGGAACCCTACAAGCAGGAGGAGGACTTGGGTATCTCGGGCGGGAGCCTTTTGGTGTAAAACATGGCATCGCCATCTTCGCCCTCTGACTTTGGAGTGTCTGCTCGTTCTCTTTCCTTTTGTGTTCTGTGTCCAGTGTTCGTTCTGGCAGGAGCGCCTCTTTCTGTGTGTTGCACTACCCTTTCTTTCGGGTTCCGTGGCTGCCGGTCTCAATCGCGACCTCCTAGGTGGTCTTCCGTGTGTGGCAGCTTCTCTTTCAGCCAGGATGTATGTCCTTCTCCCTCCCAGGAACCGTGTTACATGTGCCTTGTTCTTTGACTAGCTTGCCATGCACCTGCTTGCTTTATCGCGTTATTCTCTAACAAATTGCATTCCATCGCAGCGTCTTCCTTGGCCTGATACTTTCCCTTTAAAACTTTCCCTTTTTCTAACTTGATTTCTTCAGAAAGTCTTTCTTTTTTTTTTTTTTTTTTTTTAAGCAGGATTTATTAAGAGGACAGAAGAGTTCCCACAGTGGGAGGGGACCCGAGGGGGTTGCCCTAGAAAGTCTTTCCTTTTTAAACCCATACTGATGTTGTCTTTTCTCCCACTCTCCTTAGTTCTGTATTATTTTTGTATGTGACTTCTTCACATGAGTATATGTGAGGTTCACAGTCAAGGAAGAGCATGAATGTTTTAAGCAGAAATTATCAATAAACTAGACTAACTAAAAAAACAGTTACATTCACTAAAGTATTTCTTTAATAGGATGAAAGATATGATCATTTGGATCCCTCCGAAATCGAAAAAGTTGAAAAATATATTAGTGAGGCCATGAGTTGGCTGAACAGTAAGATGAATGCCCAGAACAAGCTGAGTCTTACTCAAGACCCTGTGGTGAAAGTTTCAGAAATCGTTGCCAAGTCGAAGGTAAGAAGCTTGTGCGTTACCTTTTTAAACTGGTTCAAATACTAAAAGTTTTTTTTTTTTTTTTGAGTCGGAGTCTCACTCTGTCGCCCAGACTGGAGTGCCGTGGCCGCTCCCGGCCACCGCAGTCTCAACCTGCTGAGCTCCGGTGATCCTTCCGCCTCAGCCTTCCAAGTAGCCGGAACTACAGGCGCGCTACCACGCCTGGCTCATTTTGATTTATTGTACAGATGAGGTCTGGCCAAGTTGCCCAGTCGGGTCTCAAACCCTCAGGCTCAGGCAATCCACTCAACCTCGGCCTCCCAAAGCGCTGGGATTACAGGCTGAGCCACGGAGCCCAGCCAAAAAGTTTTTAAATGAGAGCTGTACTTTGAGAAGAATGGAAATTTAAGGCTAATCTTTTATTTTGCTAAAAAGAACTTTTAAAGATTTTAAGCATGAGGAATCTCTGTTCCTTGATTTGATTTGTCACACAGGCTGGTTTTTAAATCTCGAGAGTAACACAGAACGAAATAAAGCACTGCGATGACTTCTCGTTGTTACATATTTCAGAGTTGTAGATTGGATGAACTCTCTAAATAAGTCTTCATTTTAAAACTGTGCAGGAGTCAGGGGTTGTGGCTCACTCCTGTCATCCTTATGTTTTGGGAGATGTAGGCAAGACAGTTATCTGAGCTCAGGGGTTGGAGACCAGCCTGAGCAACACGACTAGACATTGTCTCTACAACAAATCAAAAATCAGCCGGGTTTGATGGCACGTGCCTGCGGTTCCAGCTGCTTGGAAGACTGAGGCAGAAGGGTCACCTGAACCCAGTAGGTCAAGGCTGCAGTGGCCATGAGCATGCCACTGCACCCCAGCCTGGGCAACAGAATGAGACTCCAACTCAAAAAAAAAAAGTTTCGCAGTATAAGTCTGTCTTGAACCTAGTTTGAAATATATAAATTTCCATGGTAAAATTTTATTCTGAGATAAATCTCGTTTACAGAACATTGCTATTGAATAGGTCAAAAGTAATAGAAAATACCACTGAAAACATGGGGAAAAAAATTTGTAATAAAGATCAGCATCTAAGTAGAAAAATGAGTAAAGACATTGGACAAGAAATAGAGAAGAAATATATGTCCAATAAATATATGAAAAGGTTCATCCTCATCACTAATCTAAAAAATGAAATCTTTTTCTCACCATCTGATTTGGTTATATTTACATTTATGATGTTTGCCACAGTTGGCCAGGATGTCCAAAAATGGACGCTCTCCCTGAGCAACTGGGTTAAATTAGTTGCAACTTTCCTGGGTATTGTACCGGAATATATATAGAAATTTAAAGTGAGTATATCCTTTAATTCAGAAATCACAGTTCTAGAAACTAATCCTAAACTGATCATTGGGCAGTACATGAACATAAATACCCTTGCTTATAATAACAAAAAATGGAAAGCAACCTTAATGTTTGTCAGTAGGAAACTAGATATATAGAAAGAAAGAGGGGTTCAAGGTCTCGCCCTGTCACCGAGGCCACAGTGCAGTGGCACGCTCACAGCTACCACAGACTTGACCTGCTGGGCTCAAGCAGTCCTTCTGCCTCAGCCTTCCTAGTAGCTGGACCTACAGGCATGTGCCACCACACCTGGCTAAGTTTTTGATTTATTGTAGAGACTAGGTCTTGCCAAGTTGCCCAGGGTGGTCTCCAAGCCCTGGACTCAGGCAATCCTCTTGCCTCCGCCTCCCAAAGTGCTGGGATTACAGGCATGAGTCACCACACCTGGCTTATAGAGTTATTTAAATATAAAGATGGATACATCTTGTTGCATGAGAAAGAAAAGATTACAGAACCTAATAGAATGTATAAATTTGTATAAAATGTGTGTCTCTATAGATATGCTTGAATATACATGTATGCACAGACATACATCTTAAAAGGATAGTCACCAGAATGTTAATATGTTCACTTAATGGGAGATGGAATTTCAGATGATTTTGTTTTATCTCATTCAGTATGTTTTTGGATATTTGTTTTTTGTTTTTGTTTTTTTAACAAAATAGGTATTATTTTTATAATCAAAGTAATATTTTCATTCTGAACAAGTTTGTCAGGAAGTTAGAGTATTTATAAAGTTTACTGTTCATCAGATGAGATGTAGAATGTGACAAGAGCAGTCTGCCACCATAGCATTCTGCCTAGGATGTGACTCCCTCTATTTCCACCTTGGTCTTCAGAGGTGTTTAAATCTGAATAGGAGGTTTGTAGTAGCATTATTTCTGCATGAAAAAGGAAATAGAAGAACATTTTATTTTATTTACCTTATTTACTTTCACGACTATTTTTCCTTCAACAGAAAAGGCTATTTTAAAAATAAAGTTGGCTGGGCACAATAGCTCATGCCTATAATCCCAGCACTGTGGGAGGCCAAGGTGAGAAGATTGCCTGAGCCCACGGGTTCGAGACCAGCCAGGGCAACTTGGCAAGACCTCATCTCTACAGTAAATCAAAATTAGCCTGCCCAGCAGGTCGAGGCTGCAGTGGCCCTGAGTGTGCCACTGCACTCCAGCCTAGGGACAGAGTGAGACTCCATCTCCAAAAAAAAAAGCCGATGGTGAATATATTGGTATGATTCCATTTATTAAGATTTTTTTAATATAAATATTGAGGAGTTTTCAGTTTATGAAATAGATGTCATTTGACATGGTCCTTTTTTTTTGAGTCAGAGTCTCACTGTCACCCAGGCTGGAGTGCAATGGCACGCTCATGGCTACTGCAGCCTTGACCTGCCGGGCACAGGCAATCCTTCCACCTCAGCCTTCCAAGTAGCTGGAATCACAGGTGTGCACCACCATGCCTAGCTAATTTATTATTATTATTATTATTGTTATTATCGTAGAGACGAGATCTTGTCAAGTTGCCTGGGCTGGTCTTGAAACCCTGGGTTTAGCAGTCCTCTCGCCTCTGCCTCCCAAAGTGCTAGGATTACAGGTGTGAGCCACCACGCCTGGCTTGATACAATTCTTATAACAAAACATTAATTATAATTTAAAGGAAGAATTAAAAATTATTTCTACCAAAGTAAACTGTTATTATAACAAAACAAGTTTTAGGAAGGTCAGATACAGAAAATAATTGTTAGAGATTCTCCAGTTTCTGACTGCCACAGATAGGCACTAGTCCAAGAAGTATTTTTTGAGGCATTTGAAGAAATGGTTACCCAGCTGAGATAACATAAATTCAGAAAGGATTACGTGGAACTTCAGAAAGTTAATGTGGAATTTAAAAAGTTGAGGGTCGGCCAGGTGCGGTGGCTCAAGCCTGTAATCCCAGCACTTTGGGAGGCTGAAGTGAGAGGATTGCCTGAGCCCATGGGTTCGAGACCAGCCGGGGCAACTTGGTGAGACCTCATCTCTCAGTAAATCAAAAAATTAGTCAGGCCTGGTGGTGCGTGCCTGCAGTTCAGCTACTTGGAAGGCTGAGGCGGAAGGATCACCTGAGCCCAGCAGGTCACGGCTATAACCATGAACGTGCCCCTGTACTCCAGCCTGGGCAACACAGTGAGATTCCGGCTCAAAAAAAAAAAAAGTTAAAGGTCACCTGTTCGGTAATGTCTTTAAGACAGCCAGTTGTTCTTTCTTGTCTTTAGGACCTGGATAGTTTCTGCAACCCCATCATTTATAAGCCCAAACCAAGAGTAGACGTTCCTGAGGACAAAGCAAAAGCTGACAGCGGGCACAACGGCCCACTGGACGGCCAGGGCGGGGCCGAGCCTAAGCCAGACACAGCCAGAGACAGCGCACAGCACAGCCGGGCTGCTGGGGAGATGGAGGTGGACTGAGCCCCCGGCCTCCTCGTCGTCTAACACCGGAGCAGCCATGGGGCCGTGTCCCTTCACACCTGACTTCTGCAGGTGGTTGTTCTTAATCACTTTTTGCCATTTGTTTGTTGCAGTCGTTTAGAAAAATGTTTTCTATTGAGTGTACTTCTGTTCATTCCCTTGCTGCTTATGTGAAGCTTTACCGCATACAGATAGATGTGCGAGTTCGTTTAAGCTTTCCTGATATGTTTTGTATCAAACATGCAGGACTCATGTAGCTGGCAACAGTCTACCTTATTTAAAGCTTCTGCTGGAATAAACCTCAGTTCCTTTATTCAGAAAAGGATGCTGTATTGCACTGTTGTTGCAGAAGCATAGATGTAATTTTATCGGTATTTTGAAAACAAAAATAGAAATCGATGGGATTTAGAGGCACTGACCTTTTTTTAGTTATTGTATTGTTATAATTTAAATATTAAAACAAATAACAGCTTCCTTGACACATTAGTTCCTTCTCAGTGATATACCACGAGAACCCCAAAGCATTGTTATCGTAACATAAATGAATTAAATCTCACATTGAATGTCAAGGTGACACCAGCAGCTTGCTTCTTCTGTTAGTGATGTGGATTGATGTTTTCTTAGAGCAGCTCAGTGTCTTTTCACTTGAAACGTTGGATCTACTTGTCCTGAAGACCAACTGCTGCTAAAATAATGATACAGGAGTCTTTGGCAAAATTATCTTCATGTTACGAGGGAAACCCTGTTGACCTGCACAGACATGCATCTGTGATGTTGACCGCCTTTTTCAGTTGTAATAGTTGTCTCAGTTTTCTTAATTGATTTTGTTAATAATACCTTAATATAGAGTAAGGAGAAATGGCACAACTTATTGCATTATATACATATGTCTTTGATTTATTCAATGTTATAATATAGATAAACACTATTAAATAAGCGGTAGCACTTAAAAAGGAGTACTTATACCACAAGTCTTGGGAAATAATGCTTGTAATAAACTTTACAGTGTTAAGTATCTACAGGTCTAATACAGACTGTTACATGGTGTCACATGACATGGTGTGATGAAATGACAGGTCCTGCGATGCCGTTACCTTGTGAAACCTCGGCTCCAGTTTTGGTGCTGCTTACGTGAACCAAGTGGGAGAAGGGACAGTAGACTTAAATCACACAAAGGACCTGATCTGTGCTCCATTACCAGACTTGTTCACTTCGTTCATTTCTGTCTAGAGACCTGGAGCTATTTCAGTATGGGAAAAGCTAAAATGATGCCTCAACCTACAAGAGAAGCATAGACCAGATGCAGGGGCCTTTGTGTCCTTAATGCAGGCCAGCTAGGGTGACCTAAGTTACAGTTGTGAACGGCTAGTTTTTTTCCCCAAAGCAAAACCTTTATATACAGAAGATTTAACATTGACTTGCGTAGTAAAAATTGAGAGCATAATGTCTTTAGGGATAGTCATTATTTCTCACAACTGGTTCTTTTCGTTTCTACAATGTAGTTAGTCTGCACTGAATGGAGAGAATGGACCAGTGCATTTTGCAGGGATTTTTATTCAGCCCTTTGTGGGGAGGTGTCTCTTTTTTGCATTTAGAAAAACCGTAAAAAATCCAATATATTTTTAAATGTCTTCTAGTCTTTAAACTTTTTCTCTTAATGCTCCTAAAGTGAAACATATCTTTTAAAAGTCTGCATTCATTCCTTTTTGTTTGTATGTTGAATATATAGGTTGATTTCAGGAAAAGCATGGAGGTTTTGAAAGTGAATGTATGACACTACAAGCGGGCGCTGTATCGCATTTATTTGAGTTAAAACCTCCCCTCACTTGGTAATGAGCTATGCCTCAGAAACTTCCTGGAAATAAATGTGGAAACAGCTTTTTCTACACTTGGCTTGTCTAGTATCAACCGACATTTCCATTCCTGCTCTGAAGTCATTTTACATAGTTCTGTATTTTAGTCAGATGCATAACACCAACTTTTGCAATTATATACCACTTCATTGGATAAATTAATGCATCCAAAGATAATATGTACACTTTTTCTACCCATTTATCCAATTTAATGATAATTTCACAATAATAGTTTTAGCCTTATGATGTAGTTTTTTATTGAGTTCAATAATGAAAGAGTAAGTTCTTAATACAGTTTTGGGCAGACATGGTTTAGTCTGATTTTAATCTGCATTGAAATATGCAGTGCTAGACAAAAAACTATTTTTTTTAGTATGAAAAGCTATTATTTTAGAAGTCATGTAAGAAATGCATAGAAAAACAATTTATATGCATGTAGGAAATAAGTATGCAAATAAGTATGTAGGAAACATCTAAATGATTAATAAATATAGATTAGTGTACTTGGACTCTGTGGAAAAGTATAAATTACTTCTGTTTTCAGAAACCAACTCTTGAGTATTACTCTGTGATTATAAAAAACAAAAACTGTTAAATAATATCACAAAAGAAAGTTTGCAGTGTTTTATTTTGTGATGTTTTAATTCCTTAGCAGTAATGCAAAATTCTTAAATTTAAAAAAAAAAACAAAACTAGAAAGAGCACACCAAAGAATTTGGCTATTGGAATAACAGAAAAGAGTGGTTTTCAAAGGACAAGAAGACATTTCCTAAGAAGAGCTAAAGGCAAGAAGTGAAGACTTCTTTAGACTTTAAAATTTTTGGTATATTGTTATTTCTCCATAGAAGTTTTTAAAGGTGAATCTTGAGCCTCGATAATTACTACAATAAAATGGCGGTGTCAAAACATATTACAAAAATTAGCACATCTTTAACTGTTTTGAAAAATTACCGATATTTAAAGGCAGTAGATATATGAATACAGTGACCAAATTGCTGGCTTCAGTTTAACCCAAAACAGATACAACCATCCCTTCATTTTTATAAATTTGAAATGTAATGATAACCTAGAAACACTCCCATTAGGATCCTCTATTTTGTTTTAAATAGTTGGTCTTTGAATTAATGCACAATTAAGGCCTGTGCGTTAATTTTACATAACATAAAAGATTTAGAAGTGGCTCTTAATGGCTAGCAAAATATAACTTCTACTTTCCCATGTTTTAGAAGGTTACACCAAAAACCTTTAACTTTAAAGGTTTTAAAGTAAATGTTATTTTGTAAGTTTTTAATTGTAAGCAGAATTTGATTTTGTCATATTTGTGAAAAATGCAATGAGAGGCATAGCTAATTGTACTGATAGGTGTATCTTTAAAATCTGGTGGCAGCCGGGCTCAGTGGCTCAGCCTGTAATCCCGCGCCTTTGGGAGGCTGAAGTGAGTGGATTGCCTGAGCCCGCGGGTTCGAGACCCGCCTGGGCAGCGAGACCTCATCTCTACAATAAATAAAAAAATCAGCCAGGTGTGGTAGCGTGTGCCTGTAATCCGGCTACTCGGAAGGCTGAGGCGGAAGGATCGCCGGAGCCCAGCAGGTCAAGGCTGTGGTGGCCGGAAGCAGCCACCGCACTCCAGTCTGGGCGACCGAGTGAGACTCCAACTAAAAAAAAAAAAAAAAAAAAAATCTAGTGGCAATGATGAAAGGAAATTAAACACCTTTCAGGTGACATGTGAGCAATACTTATAAAGTGTAATTCTTTTTTTTTTTTTTGAGTTGGAGTCTCACGCTGTCACCCAGACTGGAGTGCAGGGGCTGCTCCCGGCCACCTCAGCCTCGACCTGCTGGGCTCCAGCGATCCTTCCACCTCAGCCTTCCGAGTAGCTGGAACTACAGGCGCACACTACCACACCCGGCTAATTTTTTATTTATTGTAGAGATGAGGTCTCGCCAAGTTGCCCAGGCAGGTCTCGAACCCACAGGCTCAAGCAATCCACTCACCTCAGCCGCCCAAAGCGTGGGATTACAGGCTGAGCCACCGAGCCCGGCTATAAAGTGTAATTCTTATATTTTGTCATCCTCTTACTACAGTATATTTTATAATAGTCTATTTGGCAAACTAAATGATACACTTAAAGCAGTTCAGGGCCAAGTGTAGTGACTTATGCCTGCAGTCCCAGAACTTTGGGAGACCATGGCAAGAGGATGGCCTCAGCCTAGGAGTTCCAGACCAGGCAACATGGTGAGACCTTGTCTGTCTCTTTAAAAAAAAAAAAAAGTTCAATTTCAGAAGATAAAAGACTTTTTGATCAAAAAATAGCAAGTTTACATTATCTTTTGGTTTTTGTTAAGGTCTAATTTATGCTTAAGTAAGATTTTAAAATAATTTCCAGGAAACATATATTTTCTTTTCATAAAAAGTAATAAAGATTTAATGCAGAGCAAAGGCCAAGGCTCTTTACCAAAACAAAAAACAAACTTCAGCTGTTTAACTATCACATCGTTAATTTAAAATGCACTAAAAGGCTGGGCGTGGTGGCTCACACTTGTCATCCCAGCACTTTGAGAGGGGATTGCCTGAGCCCAGAAGTTCAAGATCGGCCTGTGTAACTTGAGGAGACCTCTTCTCTACAATAAATCAAAAAATTAGTTGGCGTGGTGGCACGTGCTTGTAGTTCCATCTACTTGGGAGGCTGGCACAGAGGGATCACCTGAGCCCAACTGGTCGAGGCTGTGATAGCCGTGAGCATGCCACTGCACTCCAGCCTGGGCTACAGAGTGAGACCCCGGGTCTCTCTCTCTCTCTCTCTCTCTCTCTCTCTCTCTCTCTCTCTCTCTCTCTCTCTCTCTCTCCCACACACACACACACACACACACAAAGCACTTAAATACTATTTCATATACTTGTTTTCTAACCAAACAGCTTTATGTTTAATAATGCCAGTTGTCTTTAGATTTTTTTTTTTTTTGCTAAATTGAAGATTTATTCTAAATAATAAAAGGGTACTTGGAATGTTAAAAACAAACTGCTTAGAAGAAAACCTAGATGTCTGTGGAAGTTGTCAGTACTTACAAATGGTAATGACTCTTTCATTTTCTGGAACCCTATTGATACCTCGAGTATATTGTTAGAGTAATGATCAAAAGATTAAATGCACGCTTTCTAAAATGACTTTCAAGTCAAAGAAACCTAGTTAATTGAATCATGAACAATTGAATTTGTTCTGTCAGGCAAGTCAAAAATAGGTAACAAAAAATGTGAATGGTATGATGTTAGCTGTAGAATGTTACTGATGCCTGGAAATGGCCTATCCCATAAGGAAGTCAGTGAAATTCAACACACTTTAGATAGTTTAACTGCACTACAGTGTATAAACTATATATGAAAATTATCTTAGTTCTTTTTATTTGGTTTTATGTGTCCTCTTATCCAATGCTAGACCCTTAAATCATTCTGTTTTTCTCAAGTGTATTTTCCTTTTCTCTTCCAGCTTTGTAAATATCATTTCCCTAATACCACATGGCATGGATAGCTAATAATATTACCTTTGTTTCCCTAAGTCTTACTGGTAAGAGGTTTTTGGCTTTAAATTCATACACAATAAGCCATGTTAAATTTCTGTATGTCATGTCTCCACAATTTAATTGTATCATGGAGCAGGTTTTTCACAGCTGGCCTTAGAATATTTTTAAGTTCTTCTGAACCAAAAAAGGTCAATTTTGTGAGTATTTCATATTAAGTAAACAACATTCCTGGTTTTTAATCCAAATATCAATGTGACAAAAATAACACTGGTCAGACATTCTAAAATAGTTAAAGATTAGACACCTTCACTTCTTTGCTGCTCTCTGGTTATGTACATGTATTGTGCTGCTTCTTTGTTTTCTTAGAGTTTTGTGAAGTTTTTTGCTTCTGAGGACTTGAGTTAGAATTCTCTTAAAATATATGAATCTACCCAGAATGTAGGTGTTAAAATGTACTTAGAAAGCTAGGTAAAAGAAGCTTTAAAGTGTTGTTTTTTTCCCCACTGAAATAAACTTTCATGATTTAGCATCCTGTAAGGAGACTCACTTTAAAAGTGGTTACCTTTTCTATTTGGTGCAATGGAGCCATTGCTGTTGAATACCACGGTACATAAAAGCGATATTAAAAATGAAGTTACTAAACTGTTTAGTATTCATAATGCAGCATCCACGTCATTTTTTTCCTCTAACCATTATTAAAATAATTTATGTATGTAATGACTCTGACTCCAGTTATTAGTGTAAAATAAATTGGCAGTTAATTGCTTTTTGTTTGTAGAAAACTCTACATTTGATTTCTCACGTTCTAGGTTTCAATACAGTGCAATCCAGAACATCATAATCAAGTGTGATGTGTCTCTAAAAATAATTCACTGAGTTTCACATGTAATAGATCCTTTAGCTTCAGTGAGCGGTCATGAGAATGGCTTGTGAAGTTGGTAACATTCTAGGAATAGATATTTGGCACACAATTTTGGTTCACACACATCCATAAAAATGATATATGGCAATATCAAAGTATATCAAACATTTTGTGTGTATGTAAATTGCATCTTCATACTAGTGAACAAAGAAGTAGCAATAAATGGAACTCACTTTTGGATGGGAATGCACATTTTCGCTGTAATCATGTCATTGTAATCAATATGGATCTACCTACTTGAGCTGTGAGTTCTGCACACTGAGGTCTAATTTTCACTTGTTGAACATCACTGACTTGATGACTGTGGACAAATTATCAAGCTCATATGCAAAAATTTGTTCAGCAATGAGAGTTTTGTTTGAGTTGGAGTCTCACTCCATCACCCAGGCTGGAGTGCAGTGGCACGCTCGTGGCCACTCGTGTCAACTTGCTGGGCTCCGGTGATCCTTCCACCTCTGCCTTCCAAGTAGCCGGAACTACAGACATGTGCTACTGCACAATGCTAATTTTTTATCTGTTGTAAAGATGAGGTCTTGCCAAGTTTCCCAGGCTGGTCTTGAACCCGTGGGCTGAGACAGTCCACTCGCCTTTGCCT